GTTTCCATTTAATAATTCAGTACTCTTCCTATTTTTGGCATATCTTTAGTGTTTTCTAATTTATCCTGATCATACATTTTTGCGTTCTTGCATACTAAAGTAAAAGGAGATGGGTGTGATTTTTCATATGGCAAATTAAATAGAGTGCTCATATTCAGGTTTGAACAGCATGCTCCATTTTGCTGCACCAAGTGCTTTCAAAAACTCTGGAGCACTTTTTGTATTCTAATGTTTGGGATCACCTAAGCCAAGCTTTTAAGGTGTAGTATGACTCATTGAACTCTGTGAGACATAACTTCTGCAGAGACATGGATTGCATTGTACAGTAAATGACTTTTAAAGCTGAAGTGTTTCTTAGCACCAATGCAACTCTCTTTCCTTAACTGGGTTTTACAGAACATTGTTGTTGAGAACATTAGCAGCTATTTTTGAACACTTAACCTTTTACCAAAAAAATCTAACATTATTTCCTAATAAATTAAAGGTTCAGATTAAAAACACCAGCAATCTCAGTAAGATACTTTATCTTTTAGGATTAAAATCCTTTTCAGCTATTACATTTTTAAATTATTCCATTTCAGCGGATCCTGTTTCATACCACTGATAAGATTTTTCATACTTAACACTGAAATAGATATTCTCTAAAGCATATGACGGGAGGGTAATCTTTCTGCATGGATTTAAGGAGACACTAATTTGTTCTTTTAAGGTCTGCCACTTATGTAGTGTATTCAGTTGTGTCCTTCAAAACTAAAGGAAAGCTTTTTGACAAAATGGAAGCTTCCATCAGCAGAAAAAGGGGAGGGATATTTTTCACTAATTCCCATTTCTTTTTGATAATGCTGGTACATATAGACGGGCACATAAGCAATATGCTGCAAAAGGTTGAAGAACATTTGGAAGAATATAGGAGACTAAAGGCTGAAAAGAAGAAATATTTCTTAAAGTCCCCACCTCACTTTCTGTTCCCCCTGCAAAAAAAATAAAATTAAAATAAAAAACCCTCTGCTTGATGAGAGTGCTGTCAGCAGAGATATGTGAGGCTAAATCTAACTTTTAGGCCCAACTCAGTTAGATTCACTGAATGAGAACTGCCAAGTCACCATTTATGTAAGTCTCATTCATTCATTACATCTGATCTAACAGGGGCTAACAAATGGTTTTAGCCAAAACCCATTTGTACTTACTTATTTATCTACCTTCCATTTCTCCTTGAAGAGGGACGCAAGCTAGCTTACAAATGATTTAAAAATACAGATCTTATAACAATTAGAAGTACAGCAAGACTCCCATGGAGATTAGTCATTGGCTCTCTCTACTGGCCAAACCTGATATTCATTTAGAAGTACTGTACAGCAAGACTCCCATGGAGATTAGTCATTGGCTCTCTCTACTGGCCAAACCTGATATTACACCTTAAAATACTCCCAAAAATAAAAAAGATGAAACAAATACTTTCCCTGCCACTTAGGGTAGATAAGAAAATAGCATTAAACTTGAAAGAATACTGTCAAAATGCCACTAAAATGGTAAAATGGCCTTTAAAAGTACCATCTACAAGTAACTAGAAAGCATTAAGCCGCTTTGGGTCCCTCGTTGGGAGAAATGGCCAAACCTGATATTACACCTTGAAAGAATACTGTCAAAATTCCACTAAAATGGTAAAATGGCCTTTAAAAGTACCATCTACAAGTAACTAGAAAGCATTAAGCCGCTTTGGGTCCCTCGTTGGGAGAAATGTGGCATATAATATCACCAAAAACAAGCCACTCATTGCACTGCTTCTGAAATGTAACATAATTATGCCCGTTATGAACTTTAGTAGTGCACCCCAAAAGGCAACTAGTTACAGGTAACTACCTTACTTCTTACCAGTTCCTTCTAAGCTCTGGACTTACCCCATTCCTTTACACTCAGTCTTTATAACTGAAGGTAAGTATACACTATATTCTAGTACCAAACATAAATCTTCAAGGATCTCTGTTAGTTTTAATAATGTTTCAATGGATCACGGAGTCAACACAAATCTCATTGGTACACACATTGCTCTCAAATATTTCTGCTCCGATCCTTATTCCTTTAAAATCAACTGGATTCTGCTGGATTCTTCAACTGGATTCTGCAGTTGAAAATGCTTTAGTTCCATTGTGAATTTTATATGAGATTAAGGACAGTCTTCTGTGATTCCTCTGTATAGCAGCAATAGTTTTGATGTCATATTCTCACTTACCCTTGTGGTTAATTGCAGTTATATTACCTTAATCCACTGCATTTGCTCTTGTTCTAAATTTTCTCCTACCACATTCTCCTTGCGCCAGCAAAATCACTATTTCTAAATTTCTTGTCACTCTCATTTCTGTCAATATAACCCAAAAGTGATTTTTTTTTCAATTAATGAAAACTCAGCTCCCAAGTTATTTCTAACAAGATATTGAAAAATCACTATAAGAGTAATGGGTTTCGTGTAGTATGAGTTTTAATGAGTATACAGGAAAAAATGAACTATGCATCCATCAAAGCTCATGGTGTAATATATTTGTTAATCTTAAAAGACAGTCTGTCATCTTTCAAGTGTGAATTAACCTTGTATGGTGTTGTGGAATATTTTTCAAAAAGGCAAAAATAACAAAGACATTTGTGATACATTGAAGAAGATGGTGAGGTGTTGTCTGGAAGGAAACATTTGTAGACTGTAGCTCCTTTGTTCAAATAAACCTTGTTCAGCTTCAAGGTGGTGCAAGATTCTGTCATTTCTGCTGTAATAGACAAACAAGGCTACCTCAACAAAAATGTTCATTACTCTGTGGTAATTCTTTTCTGCTGAAGATGACCATTCATTTATTTAACATACTGACAGAGGACAATTAACAAAGGCACCCAAAGCACCATATGGAAATAAAAGCAAAATACAGTCATATGTACTGTATATATAAACACCTTTAAAATAACATTACAGCCAACAAATCCCCTCTTTTAAGTCCTTGCAAACAGCAGACTAAAAAATAATAAATAATTTAAAAAAAAAGACATCAAGAGCATTAAAAATATAAAGCAACAGTTAAAAAGTCACAACATAACCAGTTAGGATATACGAACAATTAATTAATACTTGTTATATTTCCACCTTACTGGTAGGTTTGCAGCTTAGGAATCCTTCCCCCCCCCCCACTTGTGAATCTTCAGGTGTTATCAATGACCACAACAGCTTTTTGCCAACTTCAAATTGTGCACAAGCTGGGACATGTCCCAGAAAGGTCAGGCCCATCCAGGTATAGGCAACTGTGGCCCATCAGTTTTGTGTTGTTGTTTTTTCTTGCCTGCAACTGTCATCAATCACAGCCAAGTAAATGATAGCAGCATAGCTAACTGTGAGGAATGGTGGGAGTTGCAACATAGAAATATTTACATAGTCACAGCTCCTCACCTGGTCTCTATGACTGGACCTGATTCATTTAACACCGGAGATGTCCTTCAATGCAACATGTAAATTCCAAGTGTACCAGAATATAGCTAGCAGTTTCCCGAGACTAACAGGCTATCAAATTCACCTCTTGCCATGGGTTCAATTCAAAACCCTGTGTAGCGTTCTCCTTTTATTTGATCTAAAGGTTCTTGTTGTATTATATAATGGTTTATGAATATTCATGTTGCTGAGAGGCGGAGTCTAGAGAGATGCTATAAGAGGCGGGGTCAGAGAGGCACATGGAGGAGATTGAGTCAGTGAGAGAAATGTAAGAGTCAGGCAGGAAAGAAAAGCCAGACAGAGTAATGGAGTGTGTGGTTTGGGAAATTTAGATGTGATTAGCTACTGAAGATGTGTATGAATCTCTGTAATCAATAAACCAAAGTTTTATTTAAAAGAACTTGAAGTGTGGACCTGAATCTTTCTGAAGTAATGGTGATTTAGAGATCATCTGGTGGCAGCAAGTGTAAAAGAAGAGAGTGTTTGCCTTCGTGTGCTCAGAGGCTTGAAGGTCAAGCAAAGGGGCACGAGGGTAGATGCCACACCCTGGTTTTGAAACCTCTAAACCACTGGTTTGCAACATTGGGTCCCTAGTTCTTGAACTAAAACTCCCAGAAGCCTTCACCACTAGATGTGCTAGTCAGGATTTCTGGGAGTTTTAATCTCAGAATATTAGGGGACCCAAAGTTGGGAACCCACTGCTCTAAACAATACGTGGCCGCAGCATCTTGTGGACTGATTCCCCTCACAGATACCTGCCAAGAAACTTGGATCTACAGTTTAGGACCTTCCCTCCATGCACTCTAACTGTGCAGCTGGTGAATTGCTTTGGCAGTAAGAAAAAGAATGCTAACTAGCTGTTGGTGGAAGAATCAAAAACCAAGTTGAGGGAGAGGATAAAATGGAATGGAGTACCTTGGAATACAGCAAGATAGGCCGGCTAACACTATAAAACCACTGCATACTGCAGTATCTAGTTGTACTTACTAAGAATATTCCAATTGCGCCAAAATCCGGTATAGGATTCTGCTTCCAGATGCATATAGTTTATGTGCCACTCTATTTAAAAAAGGGCAGACCTTCAGAATGAAAATTGGCCACAATGAATGTCTGTTATGTGCATATTCATTGTGGCTCAAATACTGATAAGAGCGCTGTGGCCCCTGCTTATTTTGCCCTCACAAAGGCTCACGTCATTTTATCTTCCTGCTGCCACCCCTTGTGGTGTTCACTCAGTGCCCCTGTTTAATCTCCCTTAAACATAGGTTCACCTTCTGCAAAAGCAAAGCAAAGCAAAGCGTGCTGCTTATATATTGCCTCATAGTGCTTCAAGCACTCTCTGGGCGGTTTACAAATTAATTATGCAGGCTACACATTGCCCCCCCCCAGCAAGCTGGGTACTCATTTTACCGACCTCAGAAGGATAGAAGGCTGAGTCAACCTTGAGCCGGCTACCCGGGATTGAACCCCAGGTCGTGAGCACAGTTTTGGCTGCAGTACAGCGGTTTGACCACTGCACCACGAGGCTCTTCTGGATGAGTTTCCACTTTACATACAGCCACCAGGTATTATTCACCCAACACCGATTATGTATTTCAGACACGTGTGCTGCCAAGTATAACAGGTTTATCAAACTTTTGAGTTTGAGAATCAGAGGTTTAAATTACAGAGGTTCTTTTATTGTCAGGTAGATCACAATGGATAAATCACAGATGTTCAGTATAGTTCATTAAATAGGATTTGATGGTACTTTTATTCAGAACAATATACTTTTACTAATTATCAATTCTCTATTACTTATAACTCTTTCTCTATTCTCTTTATCATTCCAACTGTTCAATCTATGTATTAACCTTCTTATCATTCTCTCCTAATTCTCCCTCCCCAAATCACTATCTTCTGCCTCCCTCCACCTCCTAACTGTCATTTTTCACTCCATTGTCCCTTTTGACCCCGCCCCTCCTGTCCTATCATTGGCTCCTCCCTTTGGAGCTTTTATGATGGACAGACAGGAGTGACGTCATGTGCTGGCATTTCACCACAAGCGCATTAGCTGCCTTTCCTCAAAACAATTTCTTAACTTCAAAAATGTCCACATAGACCATTACGGAATAAATTATAGGGGCTGTAAGAATGCCAGGCATTCTTACCCCTGATCTAAAGGAAAGGTGTCAGTCTTCAAGCAAGTCAAAGAGAGTCAGTGGCAAGGAAGTGAAGTGCTCTCCCTTGTTACTGTCTGCCAGAAAATAATAATTTCTTGTGGAGATATCGCATGTGCTGCAATCAAGTGCTTGTATTTACAGATGTCAAATCTAATTCTGTACAGAAAGAAGAGTTCTACATCATCTGGAACAAACAACTTCACACCAAGTATTCCTAAACAAATCCCAACATAGACATCTTCAAATTTAAAAGGTTTCACATGACTCATCATCTTATAAACCCTACGAGCCAGTCTGACATCAAGAACATAACCAAGTCCACTCCAGTATGGAGGATACACCTTAAATGGATATTCATCATAAGAAATATAGCTTTTCCAATAAAATCCTCTATATGGGTAGTTTTCTATTAAAGGATAGCCGGTCATAAAATTTTCTGAAGCATTTGTATTTAGAAGAAACTTCACTAAGTTGCCTGTGTTGATGAACACATCGTCATCTGTCTTCATAACATACTGAGCACTGGAACAAAATTCAGTAACCCATCTGAATGCCATGATAGTTTTTAAGGTGAGATTCCTGTAAGTGTCAAGAAAGTCTTGTTGTATGATGTCTCCATAAAGAATACTTTCATCTTCTACTGATAAAGCTCTAGCATCCTCCTTCTCTGTTCCTTTGCCCAATAAAAACAGTGTCAGAACTTGCTTTCCCCACCAGGATCTCTGAGAGCCCCATGTTATCCTAATGGCTTGTCTTGCCTTCACATTTGAAGGCCTTGAAGAAACCAAGATAACCAGAAATGGATTGTCTTTACATTTTAATCGCTCACGCAATGTGAATAGAAAAGTCTGTTTGTAGACAGGTTCATGTTTATAGAAATACAACCAGTCTATGTGTTCCATTACAGTGTGAGAAGGAAAAGCCACATACCATGCCATTAATATAACAGAAACAACAGTCAAACCATAAACAAATGATTTCAAGTATTTCATAGCCATAACAGTCTTCAGATTTTTCCCAAGGAGAAAAGGATGTTCTCAGTGATGCTTTCAGAGGTCTATTGGGATAGAGAGAACAAGGTTTGGCAATCAACTCTTCACTGGGAAAAAAACCACGAAACAGCAAACTAGTACGTAGAGGAAGCAAGCTTTAAAACAGACCTTCCAAATGTTGTTGGAGTCTGCTGGGCACATGTGGCCTTTTGGATGCCATTGGACTGCAACTCCCACCACTAGGCCATGACTGTAGTAGATGGGGATTGAAGCTCAACAGCTTGCAGAAGGCCAGAAGCTATCCCAACCCCTGTATTAGAGTTGGACATTTCATCTGGAAACTAAGCTTGCTAAGGCTGCTGCAATTTTGCAATCCAACATCTGGAGGGCCCCACCTTCCCCAATGCTGCTTGATAATGTTACATGCCTTGTTATTAAAAGAATGATGCAATCAGAACAGCTGCTTTCTATTCACAGGTTATTACAAAATAATAACATGCAAGAGTTGCAGCTGATCTTGCGCCAGTCCATATTGCAGGCTTATACACATCATGAAACCTGGGCCCACATGTGCCACATGCACAGAACAAGATATATGTGCATAGTATCAATACACAAAATTGGGGGGGGGGGACATTCTAATAGCATACTAATAAGATCAGCTGGCTGGGCCTTTCTACTGATGACCACTATGCATGCAAACAGATCATAATTTATCATTACCCCATTCCTCACCCCATCTATGATTTAGTTCCCCTTCACCTATTTTTAGCTTCCTTGTGAAACATCAAGGGGAGAGGGTGTTACAATCCCAAAAGCTGCTTATTCAAGAGTTATCCTCACTGAATTCAGTGAAACTTCTTCAAATGTACGGGTGTAGAGACAAGATACACAAACTTTTGGAGTCTCTAGCACCTTTCAGTCACTGTTAGGAGCTTGGAGCTGCACATAAACACACCTCAGGGTGCAGGAGAGTTGAGACCTTCCCTCCTTGCCTGCTGAGATCTAGGGATAAGTGGAAGGATGTGAGTGTGTGCAAAGGTAAATGCCTGTTTCAACTCCTGGAAGTCAGGAGGTTGCATTCCTACCCACACCATCCAAGGGTCTATGGAAGGCTAGTCTATGGAAGCAAAAGTGGGTGGAAATCTCATGTTGAGTTGTAGCTATTAGAAGACACTATTATCATTTCATGTACAGCACTGGGTAGGTGGCTGCCTAACTCACTGAGTTGGGCAGCTGACTACAGAGCTAGGTTTGACTCCCAACGGTGCCTCCCAGAAGAAAAGTCAATATGTGCTGTCTTGGGCAAACTGCATAGTCTCTGAGCACCCCAGGCCATTTTATGGATAAACAAATGATTTTTTTGCAAATTCTATACTGTGTTATATTTTTAATGCTGAAAAAAATTAAACAGCAGTGCTTGTAGTTCAGTTCCTCATGAACAAGCACACTGTCTATTCGGCAATCATATGCCCACCTGTTATCCACTTTTTTTCCTGGCAAAGGAAAATCAACCCTGCAGCAGCAGGAAAGATGTCAAAGATAGTCAAACACTATGTGGTGAGCACTCTGGTTCCCTAGGAGAGTATCTAATGCTATTTTTGTTCATTTCCACAAAGGGAGAAGGGCCTAGTGGCTGGAGGAAAGAAGAAAATGATTCTTTCTCTTCCTGCACATCTTCCTTGAGAGTCCCAATACCACCGGTGGTCAATTATCAAAACCCAGATTCTCCTGGTCCAACCACTATATCACAGTCTCTTTACAGAAACAACTATCAGTGCTATAACTGAACAGTACAGAATCTGTATTCTGTGAACTCCATTCTTCTCTTCTAATAGTCTGGACAAAGGTGAGGGATCAAAGAACTAGTAGTTGATCAAATTCAATTTTCTAGAATTTAGGAAAGCTACCTTAAAAATCTGGCCACAGTGACTAGGGCATTTCAGCAGTTACAATGCAGAAAAAGTAACTTTTCCAAACCTAGGAGGACTACAAACCCCCAGCATAGTAGGTGAAGCCAGCTGCTGCCATCCCAATCATTCTCATCCTTTTTTTCTATTAATATCAAGATTAACTTAATATGTGCTATGATATTGCATTCTGTGCATCACTCCCCCCAACCAATGACATTATTAATGTGGCAAGGATGTAGATGTATTTAGCATCATGATACAACATGTTTCAATCCAGATTACCACCACCACCCCCAATATGATGCCTGCAGATGTTTGATCTAAAGATTCATTTTGCTTCTAAGTATTGACCACGCTTAACTGGGGCTGATAGACACTAAACAAAAACATATGGAGTCTATCAAATTGGGGAGATTGATCAAGCCATTATGACAGCTGTGGCCCACCAAATGTTTTGGCCTGTAACTCCCAATAGTCCTAGTCAACATGGCCAAAGATGAAGATTATGGGAGCTGTAGTTCAAAACAACTGGAAAGCCACAGTTGCCCACTCCATCACTGTCCATTAAAAGAAAAAAGGGGGATCAGCAACACTGTGGTTCTAACAACATCTAGTTCTGTACCAAGAGCCCGAACAAATTTGAAGAATCACTAGTTCAAAACTCACCTCCACCATGAATTCACTAGCTGGCCTTAGGCAAGACACTCTCATCTAGCTCACTCTTCTTCCTTCCAGGATCTGCAATATAAGAATAACAATAATGGCCAACTTTACAGAGGCCTGAATACAAGATGTCCAATTGCATCAGACCCACGGTATCAATAGAATACAGGTAACAATTCAGCAATTGACTTAATGTCTCTTCTCCAGTTGAGACTAATTTGATCAATTCCATGAAAAGGGAATGCTGGACTCTAGACATCTTCTTTTGGGGAAAAAAACTACTGCAAAATGAGCACAATCTTAAAGTTGTAATTAGTCCCAGTCCCTATTTGGTGTTAAAGACAGTTGCAGCTCTAGGTCTGGTGAGATCTAAAATTAAATGACACTGTAATAAATAAGACAGCATTAAACTTACAATGTGGTATAAATTAGGGAGAAGGCAACATGCAGTTTACACCACTTTAGTGTAACTATGTGTCTCAGAAAATTTCAGAGCTCCCTTGCTACTCTTCAAAGAGCAGGAGCAACCTCTGGGAACAAATCTTGCTCCATCAGAAAAAGCAAGTACACAACCAACAGAAATTCAACACCAAATTTCTACAGAAGGAATTTGCTGCCCTCTGCTGAAATTATAATAAAAAGCTGCCTCAATTCAAAAATCAGTGAGTTGTTTTTAAAACACGTTATTTTAAAAGGTTCTTTAGTGAACTGCTCACTTATTATAATTATCAGTAGATCATTATCATTATGATCCAGCATATAAAGTGACCCAAGTAAACACAAAAGGAATGAATTCACAACCCAGCTTCATCAGTCTCCTCTCCCATTTTGCAAGTCAGGATTTCTTGTGCTGTAGCTCCTCTGTACATATGAGATTGCAACGTGCCTGCAGTTCAACAATTCAATTATGATAAATTTAATACATCATAGATCTGAAGCAGACTTACAATTATTGCAGGTAAGGGAAGAACAACCACTCAGTTTTGAGTCCCAAAAGTATCATAAATCTATTTGTTGCTTCATCTGAGTAGTTTCAAATAATAGGAATCCTGGATATATTAACTGTCCAGTTATTCCCAGTTACTCCAAAATGCTCTATTCTGGAAAGCCACCAAAGATAATGCTAGAGGCTACTTAAAGGGTTTTTTTTAAAATGCACTGATGGATTTATCTGGCTTGATTAAACTGTTAGTCCCAACTATAGCAGCTCAATAGAATCAGTAGGACTTACTTAAATGATAACATAACTAAACCCATTAATTAAATAAGTTTACTCTAACTGGATTTTCCAACAATGTGCCATATATTTTTTAAAAAAAAGATCAGACAAAAGGAAAAGGCAGCTATGATACAGAAACGGCACAGTTATTATAAGAAGGATGAAAGGATAGTGGAATCTGGGCGCCTACTGGACAAGGTAAAGGCAAAGGTTCCCCTTGACATTTAGTCCAGTTGTGTCTGACTCTAGGGCGCGGTGCTCATCCTCGTCTCCAAGCCATAGAGCCAGTGTTTGTCATAGTTTCTGTGGTCACGTGGCCAGCGTGACTAGACACACAACACTGTTCCCTTCCCACCAAGGTGGTACCTATTTATTCACATTTACATGCTTTCTAACTGCTAGATTGGCAGGAGCTGGGACAAGCGACGGGAGCTCACTCTGTTGCATGGATTCAATCTTATGACTGCTGGTCTTCTGACCTTGCAGCACAGAGGCTTCTGTGGTTTAACCCGCAGCGCCACCACATCCCACAAAACTAGTGGGTAAAAGGGCACAATAGCCCAACAATAACAGAAGCCAGAAAATATATTTACCAGCTTTATTAGACCCATCAGGTAACTTCCGTCATCATGAAGCTCTTCCAATCAACAATGGCATTCTCACCAAGTATCTCGAAATGTCAGTCAGTTAAAACTTAGCTTTTTGACAGGCAGAAGGTACTTAATTTCTTTAGGAAAGGAGCAAGAGTTTCACTGATGCCAGTAATATTGATGTACCTAATGATTTTCTCTGCTGAAAATAAAAGAAATGTACAATCAGTAATAGCAAGAACATCATAGAATAATTTCAGTTAACTTCACATTCAGTGACAAAAAGGAAAATCTACTGATGTAAAACCAGAATTTATGGCTATCTGATGTCAACTCACTGGAAAAGTCAACAATACTGGAAAAATATGAAGATATCAAAAAAGATGAGAAACAAACCTGGAAAAGATTGATTCAACAAAGGAAGCCTTCAACTTTTATTTGCAAGACCTGATCAGCATTGTTTATGACAAGATCTTTTGGAAATCCCTAATTCGAAGGGTTATCATAGGTGGGAAGCCATCTGATAACCCATAACAACAAGGTCAATTCAAGCCCCACAAAGACAGCTAAGTCTATCTGGGAGCAAAGGTTAATCACTTATAATGTCATTAATTGGTACTTCTTACCCTCCATGTAGCCAGTTTGCCTTGGTCTTTCAGTTCCAAACTGATGGAGTTATCTGTGGGGCCAGCAAAGATGGCTCCACTTGTTCTGCTACTGTACAAATCTGAAGCCTCTATTCTTCCAGTTACATGCTGTCAAGTTGCAACAATCCTATGTGGAGCATGCTCAGCTCCAATAAGGCTGTGACTTCCTTTACTAAGCCAATCAATACTATGTTTGGATGTCCTATTTTCCTGACTTCAGCTTTCTATTATTGTCTTTTCCCGCCATTCTTGTATGATGTGCCCAGGTTAATCACGAAACCAATAGCCTCAGGTTAATCACGAAGTATCTGAGCCTTACTAGAAGAACCTCTTATGAGTTGGGTAAGTGGGCTTAGGCAAGTAAGTCTGGAAATAACTATTCAAGGCTGGTGGGGGGAAGAAAGAGTTCTTGTAGTTTGTAGGGGTAATCCTGATGGAATTGAGGACAGACCTCTGTTATAGAAAACGAATGGGACATTTTAACCTGAAGAGGCAATGGAATGAGAGTAGTCCAGAAAATGAACCTTGAACATGAAACGTAAGAGGCCTAAACAGTAAAGGGCAGCCTTTATCAAGAATACAGTACTTTTTGTCAATTATGTCAATTATCTATTGCAAAAACAAAAAACAAAAACACTTCAAAAGAGTCTTGGTACACCTGGGTTTCAGCCAAACTCTTAAGGTGCCTGTTAAATTCATAAAGCAGAGATAATTTATGATTGGTATCCAGCTCCTTCCAAAATACAGGCTATGAAACCAGAGGCAACTCCATTGTTACAGCTATACAGAAGACAAGCCAATGGTACATGAGCCCATTCTCTGTCTTGTTGAAGATGACATAACTTGGCCCTGAGAGATTTAGAAACAGGAGGTTTACGCCAACAGTTTAAAATAGCTCACTACCACTGCCTTGACATAAAAATTTGCTTCTCCTCTACAATGAATAATTTCAGCACATCTGCTAAGGTCAAGTACAAATGTGAAAAATCAAAGACTCTAAGCATACTTCAGTTTTTTTCCTCTGCAGTGAACACTAGGCCTAAAAAATAACATTCAGGATGGTAGTTGGAAGAAAAGGTGGGAGGAGGCAGTTTGATCCAAATGAGGATGGAGAAAGGTTGGGCTTTTAGTTCAGAGGTACAGCACTTGCTTGTCCCCCCTTTAGTCCTCACCATCACCAATCAAGAGTGAAAGCAGAAGGGTCATGAAACATCTCTTGGTGTGATGGAGAGTTGTGGCTAGTCAAGAGTAGACAATATCCATCAGAGTTTAGCAGTTAGTTTTTGTTGTTGTTATTTATAGACCTTGCAGAACGTTTGTTGTTAGGTGTCATCAGGCACAACTATCTTAGGACCTGGTCACACAAAGGAAATATTTTCTACTTCTTCCAATACTTTCCACACCTCTGTTATACTGAATCGTAGTCATGTGGTTTATATCCCAGGACGAACGTCCCAAGAACTTTTAGCAGTACCAGTTTAGTTCCTCCTATGAGAATTGTTATGGCTGGCTACACAATGGTACCCGGTTTATTTGTTCTCTTGCCTCAAGGGACACTTTAGCCCCATGATTTATAGGTACATATATATTTTAAAAATAATATTTATCAATACATTGATATATCAGAAACAAGGTTCGCTCTAATGTACGTGACTGTGCAAGAATGCTTGACTCCCCCGTACAGCTTTCCTCCTTCCCTCTGCACCCACAGCGATTATTTCCAGCCCCTTTCAATAGGGTTGCAATGGAACCTCACGTTGGGGGTGGGGTGGACTTGCACATGAAAGGGATGTAAATTAGAATGAATATTGATTGGGAAAGGGGTTCCGTTTAGGAAAGTGTCCTCTGTTGCACTGGCTGCTCCTGCAGAAATGCATTGCGTACAATAGACTTGGGATATCCGCACAGCAATACTGCGCCGCTGCCCCCCCGTGACACTGGCTTATCATTTCAGTGTATCTTCCCACAGAATTTTAAAAAATTGCTCTGCAGTAATGTAATGGCACAGACATACCTTTACATATCTGGTGACATACCTTTAGCAACACATTGATGTATCCAGCATGCAATTATTTTTAAAAAAATGTTTGTGCAGCCACCTTCCTGGCTTCTATTATGAAAAGTAGTAGGGCAAGGCATGTACACAGGCCATCCCAGTAAGGAATGCACTGGTACAATAAAGATATAAAATAACACACCCCTCCAGGCGATGGGGAAATGTTCCGCAGTTATACCGCTGGCTGGGAAAATCTTTCTCTCTTGTCACTGTGTCATGTGACCGGGGGGGGGAAAGCAACAGACTAACTGGGGGGTAACTAGAGAGCATTCCCCTCATGTGACCAGGGCCCTAATTTCATCATTTCTGCTTCTAGAGACAGGCTTGATTTGCTCCAAGACCTTCTTATTTCTCTTTCTGGTCCCCTGCGGTAATGATGACTGAAACAAGATATTGAAAATCTTTAACTATTTCAATTTCTTCATGTGGTGCTAGGTTTTTTTTTTCTAAATACTGTATATATTTGTTTCCATTCTACCCAAATGTGTTCATTTGTTACAGAAGACCTAACCGGCTTTAGGCAAGGTAGAACTATAAAGGATACAATAAGGAAGGCACTAAATACAATACAAATCAGAAGCACTTCCAAGCAACAAATAGCAGTAACCATGGTAAAGGCACTCAAGGCCTTTGATGGTATGGCATGGCCCTGTTTTAATTGGAATACAGTAGGATCATGGTGTCTTGGGGGATCAGTTCGAATCCCCCGGCAGATACCGGAAAACAGAGATATTGAACACTAGAAGGGGGTGCTGATAAGTACTGAGCCTTTCCCAGAAAAAATTGAGCTAGGAAGCTGTAACTGCCACACTATTTTACATATTCCCCCAGGAAGTCAATGCACTTGCAACATCTGTCCTGTCGCTTCTTAAGTTCCTGCAAATAAAAATCTGACTGCTGGTGTAACCACTCATTTGCAGCATTAGTTGCCTCCAGAACACTCCCAAATCGTTGTCCCTTCAGGTGTTTTTTGAGTTTGGGGAACAGATAATAGTCAGAAGGAGCCAGGTTGGGAAAACAGGGTGGACGGGACATCACTTGAAAGCCTAAGGACGTCAGTTTTGCCATTGTTTCACCTGCAGTGTGTGACAAGGCGTTGTCATGCAACAGGACAACACCTTTGGAAAGCTTTCCTCAATGTTTTTCCTTGATGTTTTGCCTCAACTTCGTCAATAAAGCACAGTAATATTTTGCATTGATGGTTGACCCCTGTTGGAGGTAGTCCACCAGCAAAACTCCCTTCTTATCCCAAAAAACTGTTGCCATTTGCTTCTGCACCAACCTGTGCACTCGGAACTTCTTTGGCCTGGGGGAACCACTGTGCCTCGATTCCTTAGACTGTTCCTTTGTCTCAGGATCATAACAGTAGATCCATGTCTCATCACCAGTTACCAGTTTGCCCAGGAAATCTGACTCATTTCTTGCAAAATGTTCCAAAAGAGCCAATAACCATACGTTTCCTCTTTTGTTCGGTTGTCAAAAGTTTGGGGATCCACTTTGCTGCCCGCTTTCTCATTTCCAAGTCGTTGTGGATAATGGCATCAACTCTTTCACATGATATTCTCAGATATATAGCAATACTTGTGGCTGATATTCGTCAGTCCTCCATGATCATGTCATGGATGGCTTTCACATTTGCAGGCACAGAGACAGAAACAGGCCTTCCACTGGGTTTCTCACTTTC